GTGTGCGCGTGTGTGTGTGTGTGTGCGTGTGGGTGAGTGAGCGCATGTACGTGAGCATATATGTGTGTGTGTGTGTGTGTGTGTGTGTGTGTGTGTGTGTGTGTGTGTGTGCGTGTGTGCGTGCATGATGGGTGGGGGCCCGCATGGGTTGCAATGGCGCGAGGACGCGCAGCAGGCCGTCAGGCGGGAACAGCCGCTGCCTGCACTTCCTACAGCATACACAAGCCGGGGCGGTCAACGGCCGTGGCCATTACGACAACGCGTATCTGCTGGACTTCCAGAAAGAGCATACGGCAGACGTGCGAGCAAATCCTCGCACACGCTGGCGATGCGAATCGCAGGGCTCTGTGCTGCATGGCTGGAGCCCTCAGCTGCCGCCGGTCCTGCAAGTCGAGCGGGCCTCATTGGCGGTGCTGCGCCTCACAGTAGTCAGCCCCGGATGAAAGCTGCCCGTTGAAACCCCTTGAACCCCTCAACCACCCCCCACCTCCTTGAATTCTGCTGTCGCGTCCTTGAGCCGCCCCCTGAGCGCGTCCACCACCGCTGCCGCATGCTCCCCGGCCTGCCGGCTGCCGCCGCCGTGCTGCGCCGCCGCGGCCCGCTGCAGGTCCGAGATGCTTGCGTTGACCTGCTGCAGCTCCTGCTTTATAGCGGCTGTCAGGTTGTCGATTTCGGCGGTGTGGTCGTCGAAAACTGAGCTGCGTTTCGCGAGTGCTGACAGCCGCGAGAGCTTCAGGTGCACCTTTGAAACCGAGATGCCGACTAGGCCCGCGCGCTGCGCGAGCTCCGACTGCTGCTGCTTGAAGCCTGTATCATCAAGCGATTGTTGATGCGGCAGACTTCGTGGCGGCCGCAGGGCTTACAGCAGGGCCGGGGCGCTGCGCAGTCGCCGGACAGCAGCAGTGCGTGTATCCCCCGCGCGAGTGCCGCAGGGCCGCTCACCACTGCTGGTGTCGCGGGGAGCCACGTGAATGCCCTGAAGAGTTTGAAAGGCTATCAATGAGCTATTTTGGCAAGGTATTCATTACCATTGCAGATCAGAGAGCGTGCTCAAACACCTACCTGGGCCCGCTGCAATCGTGCAATTATTTGATACCATTCGTCTGTTCGGTCCCGCATGCTGCCTGGTTGCTGTGGCCGCATCCTGTCTAGGCGCACGATTTGCTTTCAGCGGTGTACAGTAGAAGGAGATGTGGCTGGGAACGGGCTGCTCAGCTTATCAAGACCTGCACCGTGAACGACTTTGTGCTGCGCGGCGCGCACAGGCTGCATGCAGAGTCTGGCAAACGAAGCGCGCTCCGATGCTGCTTGCTGGTGAGAAGCTGCTGTTGCAACCACCTGGCTGCTGGGCTAGTGCACTGACGTGGAGAGCAGCCTCTAGCTGCGAACGTCTCCCCCCCCCCTCCCGGCAACACGAATCTCTGGATGTGTTTCCATGCGCACAACATCTTTTTCATGAGTAAGGAGGCCCAAGCCATTTTTTGCAATTTTCGGTTGCTCCTGTTCTCCTGCATTTCATGGGATGCATCCATCATTGCTATTCTACTGCAGATGACCCCTTGACCATGACATCATGAGTGGTAGTAGGTGTGGGGAACCCGTCACCTTGTAGACGTCTTCATTTGCAAACATACAGGGCAACAACACAGGAAACTGCAGCCACCGTGATGTGCACTTGAGCCTCAGGCGGGTGCACCCCCCACAGCAAGCAGACCCAGAATATTGTCATGCACCAATGCACATCAACACGATATCAGGTAAGTGTGGCTGCTATGCATGCTCAACACACCCATAACGTCATGGGCTGGCTGCACTAAAAACTCGTCTTGGGTGGACATGCCATTCAGGTCGAAGCATGACTTGAGTTGCAGCCGCAGGACTTGTCGCCTCTTGAGCGGTCAAACACACTTGCACCAGCCGGCAGGGTCGCATCAGCTTGACACATGTGCGCCCCGGCCCCCACGTCACACTTGGCACTCGTATTCACACTGACAATCGTACACAGTCGCCTCATGTCTTGTGGACAAAGCTGCCCCCATCGACGTACTAGACATGGCTGCTTTGTTACTGTGGGACGTCATCACAGTGCACCGCTGTTGCCCATCACACGGTCGAACACACGAAAGGAATCACCAGGACCGTGCCGCCCGCCGTCACCCGTCCGCGCCTGCCTGCTGCTGCGGCCGTAGCTGCGCGTCCTGCTGCTGCTCGGCCGCCGCAGCCCGCTCTTCCCGCTGCTGCGACTGCTCCTGCCCCTCCGCCCCGGGCTGCTCCGGCACGAGCTGCTCGCCGCCCTCGCCCTCGGGCTGCTGCTGCTCCTGCTGCTCCCGCTGCTGCTGCTGCTCCTGCTGCTGGCCCTCCTGGCCGCCCTCCGCCCCCGAGCTCTCTTGCCGCTGCTCTGCGCCCGGCCCATCGCTCCCCTCCACAGTCCTCGGTCGCTTTGCGTCCTCGGGCCCGTCGGGTCCTCCGCTGGCGCCGTCGGCGTTGTCAGGGCCGCGGCCGTCGCCGTTAGCAACCATAGTGGCGACCGCGCCGTCGGGTGTCAGCGCAGTCCTGATCCCCAGCGTCGCCGACACCAGCCCCATGCCCGTGCCCTCGTCTGCGCGGGAGGGGGAGGGGTTTGCAAGCGCACAGCCTCCTCAGCCGTGACAACCCCTTCGGCTAGTATGGTGGTTTGCATATGATTCGGCCGCGACCCCTTGTGCCATTCCGCCGTCCCTTCCCCTACCCTACGAGCCGTTGCAGCCAACATATACCCGCTAGCATGCGTGCACACATGCGCGTGTGCGTGCTCCCCCCAGCCCGATGCCCACCCTCTCGTGTGCGCTTCGCGCCGCTGCCCGCCGCGCCCGCGGCCTTTGGCGGGTTCTCGTTGACCGGCCGCAGCGCTGACAGCAGCGGCGGCGGCGGCGGCTCCTGCGCTGCGGGGAGGCCGCTGGAGACCAGCAGCAGCTTCTCCAACGCCAGGGCCTGCGCGCGCGCGCACGCACGTGCGCATACAGACGGAACGCGTGTGATGCACACCACGTGCATGGGGCCGTGCTTTATGACTGCGCCAGAGGGCCATCCCCAGGCAGGGGCCGGGCTTGGCCGGGAACGCGTCGCGCCGGTTGCGCTGATGGCTGCCGATTTCGGTGGTGCGCTTCAGCCGCGCTGCACGGCTGTCGTCATGGGGAGCCGTGGGACGCACTGCCCGAGCACGCTGGCCGTCGCATCGTTTTTGGCTCTGTGTCTGCTCAACAGACTGGCTGTTGCCCGTGTAGGCGCCCAAACATCCCTTCAACTGGTCTGCGCCCTCGCCCACAACAAAGCATGCCTTCATGTCATGTCATGTCATGCAACGTCACTCGAGCAAACAATCGCGTCAAAATCGGGCGCACCAGCTTGTGCAGCTGCTTGTACTGCTTCCCCGGCTCCAGCAGCAGCTCAGCCAGCCGCTGCGCCGTCCAGGGCGTGGCGTCGAACCCGATCATGTAGCCTTTGAGGCGCTGGATCAGGGGGTCCAGGGCCTCGCCGTCCAGGAGGACCGGCCGCGCCGGGCCGACCTGGGCGTGAGCGCGTGTGCATGTGTGTGTGTGTGTGTGTGTGTGTGTGAGCACATGCATGTGAGCCGTCATGTCCGAACAGTATTGCGTCGAAAAAACAGCCATGCTTGCAAGGGAGCGTTGCGCCATGAGCACAGGCGCGCGGGTGCTGGCCCAGGGCGCTGCTGGGCGGGCGCCCGCACCTCGACGCCGCTGCTCTCCTCGAACCGCCGCAGCTGCAGCTCTAGAAGGTACTCTAATAAGGGGCGCACCAGGGGCCACTGGAAGCTGCGCGGGCGCCGCGGCAGGCGGGCGGGGCGGTCGGGCGGGTCTCGGCGGCTGGCCGTCGGCCACGTGGGGTGCGTTTGCAGCACAGCGTGCCCGAGGTGCTCTGTGAACCCGAAAGGGCGCGGCCAGGCGGGCGAGGTGCGTCCGGACGCCGCTGCATACCGGATGGTGCCTGTCAGTGCTATCTCGGCGACCAGGCCCCTCAGCGGCTCGGTCAGCTGGCGCTGGTCTTGGGGGCACCTGCGGGGCCGCCGCGGGTGGGGTGCGGTGGGTTTGATGCAGCCTGCGGTATGGCGAGTGCGAACTATCCCAACAGCTTGCTGCTCCGTGCTCATTGATTTGGTCAAACATCTAACATCGATTGCGTACTGCCATTGGTGCGGCAGAGGCCAAACACAACATGCTCACCGTATGAAGGCCTCCAGTTCCGCAGATCCTGCTATGCGGGCACTTGATGCACCCTCTCCAGTCATTTTTGCTCTGCTCGGGCTTTGTGAGTGAATCGCCTGGTCCGAGTGCGGATGATCTGAGGGACTGAGGCGCGAAAGAAGCTTTTACCGGGATTCTGTGTGCGTAAGCAAAACATGACAACCAGGGCTCGATAAGGGGCGCTGTGCACATCTGGCTGGCCCCTAATGACGGTTTGTCAAGGAGTGCTCCAGGCGTCACCCATCAGTCACCCATGTCACAGCAAGGACGCGTGCTGTTGCGTTCTCCAAAGTCAAGCTTCTTGATGTCTGTGATGTGACTGGGTTCAGCATATAAAGGCCGCGTGGCCTGCGGCCCACGGCGCTCCCGAATTGCGATGACAGCGAACGCCACATCTGCCGTTTCATCCGCCATGACAGTTGCAGCTGCACCACGTCAGCACCGTTACATCAGGCTCAACAGGTTGACCATCAGCATCAGGGATCTAGCACTACGTGAAGGGGTCGCTGCAGGCCACCTGGAACGCAATCAGCTGGTCAGCGCGCAGCGTCGCCCGGCCAGTGGCGACATTCTTGGCAAGCACCATGACAACTGGCAACTCCTCGGGATCCTGCAAGCCTGGAGT